GTAGTAAGTTACGTTTCCACTAAGTTTTGACTCGTTGCAACTCTTCGAGCAGCAGAATCAGATTATTGGTATAGGCCTGAGATATGTTCTCCCAGGCTAATCTAACCTAATATCTACCCTTCTAGCTATCATATCCCATAAATGTTCAATGGGCGATAAGTCAGGTGACCTTTGCGGTCTATGGAAGAGTGGTAACATTAGCTTGTTGGATAGTCTCTGGCAACTGCAACGGTATATGGTCTGGCACTGTCTTGCTGAAATATGAGGTTTTACAGTTGCTGAAGGTATGACAATGCAACAGGTTGTAATACGTTATTAATGTAGAACTAGGCGTTCATATTTTTGTCTGAAAACTACTCGAGGTGACCTATTTCCAATTGCTCTGGCATCCCATTTCATAACGTCTCTAATAAGCACAGTATCGCATCCTATGCAAAATTGAAGTTGGCGCCTTTCTCCACGTCTTCGCATAACTTCTACGACCATCATGAGCCCACAAGCAGTAATACGACTCATCACTGAAAACAAACGACCCGATCCCACTCCTCATTCCTTTGAATCCGTTCATGACATCATGTCAGGCGTAGATGTCTATGTGTATGATCAATTGCGGTGCGAGTCGAGGACAGTATGGCAGTAGCCCATAAGCCCTAATTCTTCGATAAATTATTATCATGGTTAACTGTCGAACAGTAGCTACTTTCCACGCACTAATTCTTAAGAGGCGTTCTTCGCGGTATGTGGTTCTTCCTAAAGTTCCAGTACCCCTACTGTTCTATCAGGTTAAAGTAATGAGAAATTTGGCAACGGTGGTAAATCACACCAGGCTGGGTCTTGTGAGATGTCAGTTAGCCGGGAGCATCGACCTGACAATGTTTTATAATTGTATCTGTTTGTAGTAAAAATAAAGAGTTTTTACGGACACAATTATTATTAAGAACCCTAACAATACACCTACGACGTGTATGGTGACGATTTATAGACCACTCCTGCTAACACCTCATGAATGTTGTAGCATTCCGGCCAATCCCGTTTCCTATTTTCCGAAAGAACATCCCAGCCTTCCGTAGACCCACGATCCTAGCTTGTTCAAATTCACTTAATTGACGATACACGGCACATGTTCTTATGGGAGGCATCGGTAAATAATGTTTTAAATGCCATAAAAGTAATAGAATTAAATATCTCTTTAACAAATTTAACAACAAAAAAATTAATATTTGAAGATAAATTGGGATTATTCCGTTCAAGATATAAGAGGATGCAGCAGCAGCAGCTTAAAGATAAGTAAGTACTTCTTTACATTGGTAAGCAATTATTCTGGTTTGCATTATAAATAATATCTAATTTTCAGTACAAAACGAAAAATGCCTAGTAATAATTTATATTTTTTAAAGGAAAATTCTCAATCTTTATATCTATAATCTGTAATTCTCAGAAAAAGTAGGTACGTATTTATTTATACCACTAAAAAAAAAATTTAAAAACTTTTTTCTAAATAGTCATATTCTAATCACGCTTTCTTTTGAGGTGACTATTTTATAAAATACGCTCACTGTATTAAAATTTAATAAACCAGTCCACGTTAATTACCAGACTTGATATATTAATAAGCCGGTACCATTTTTTTGAGTTTTTCTAAATTGTGAAATTGTATATTAATTTCAATCAGAAGTATATTTGTTTTCTGCAAGGTTCAAGTTAAGAGGTTTTTGAATCGTACGATATCTGGCGACCATGGCAATAAGATCAACTATCAACAAGTCAGTTTGCACATTGGGTAGATGTTCTACCAGAACCTCTTTCAGAAAATATAGGTCACATAATTAGACTCAAAAGGCAACAATTATCAGAAGACGCTAGAAATGTTATTTTAACTGTTTTCAACCGGCTCTGTAGACGAGGAATGCCCCGAAAAGGGGCTATCCAGGAAACAATTACTCCTCAAGCTACTGTATACAAAATCATAAAACTAAGTCCGATTATAACCGATTATTAACCCTAATTTATGTTTCTTTTCGTTGTATATATTTTCAGTATATGGCATTGACTATTAAGGGGTAGTATTTTGAAACCTAAGAGTGTAATTTGCCTATTAAATATAATTGTTGGATAGAACTCGCTTCAGGAGCCGTCTATCTTGTTGCTTTCTAAATCTGAAGATTACCTACATAAACTGATAAGCCGAACTTTAATTTAACTGGTTAATGTTGAGTAGTTACTACCTATTTCTAGACCTCGGTTCACGAGAAGGCTATGTGGCTACCTGGTTATTTAAGTTTAACTCCTTTATTAAGAGTTATTGCTCCGATGACAATAGCAGGAAAATATTAAAAATAGGTATTCTGTTTTAATCTTAGAAAACACAGTTTTAAAGATAATACCATATATTTATTTATGTGCAAAGAGAATAAGTGGTACTAGCCCTGCGTTTTCATACTTTTTTGAAAAAATGGTCCGTTTTGTCTACAAAAAATTATAAAGTTTATTAATTTTGTTTAAAAAAGGACAACTTTTAATAGATAATTAACATTATCAAACATGCATTATTTTTCGAACGATTAATGTCAACTTGTAGTAAATCTTTTTCTTAATAAGATCAAAAAATAATTTTTAAAATTGGACTTAAAGCCGTAATCATTAAAATAGCAAAGTAATTTCGGATATAAAAATGATTGAAAAATATGATTACGATGTCCCCTTTTCCGTGTTCGTACCGAAGGATGGGTGCTGTTGCCTTTCTCGTCTACCTAGTATTGAAATTTGGCCAGATACGGAATAAGGGTACATACAGGATCGAACTTAAATTTAGTGTTGCTCGGTTGGTGCGAAGAGGGAAATTTTATTACATGAGATAATTTTGTTTTCAATATAGAATTTGCAATGTTTCAATATATTTAAAACATAGTTTAATTAGAAAAAATTAGGTAGAAGAATTATATTTATATAGTAGATATATATTATAATTATTTTCTAAAATAATTCATTTTGCAAAGAATATCAACTAAGCTACTAATATAATAAAATCTATAAATCAGCCTTATAAATAATGTATTTAACAAATGTTTCATATTATATTAATAATTTACATGTTTTCTGACTTATCTGTGAATAAAACGTGGAGAAAATAGTTTAACTTACAAGTTTTTCCTGATTTTGTTGCTGTCTGCTGTTGTAGTGATCTGATAATTTGTAGACTGTATAATTGTTTACAGGAAGATATTTCCTTGGATGCCCTCTTTTCGGCATAGAATAAATAAAGCAAGAAGATGATTTAATATTTTATTTTGTACAAATATATAAAATATATTAATTTACACCATTTAACGTATAATAGTATTTTGCAATTTTTACAATACTTACGAATGCCTTTTATTCTTAACTTATGTTATTGGTTTAAGATGAAATTCAGAATTATTTTGGTCTATATATATTGACTGAAACTCAAAAAGATATTCTTATAGAAATAATATTTTAAAAACTGAGGAAACAGAGCCCAAGTGTTTTGTTACTACCCGGCTTTGATTGGTGCGAATTTCATGATGGCGGCCGTTGAATGATGTTATCATATTTTGTTGTTGCTAACTTTGAGATATAAATACATACTTTCTCTTTTTGATGTCAACGATTTTAAAAAGAGTTTGCTTTTAAAATAAGTGAATATTATTGAAAGACAAACAAACGCCAAAGTTGGCGTAATATATTATGAACCCTGTACATCAAACTTTTTTTCATTTTTAAATATGATGTAAATGTATCACAAATTATAAAATAATGTAATTTTGTTTTTGTGAGGAACTGTGAGGAACAGCTCGATATTATTTTTTACAACGTAGGCATAAGAAATGATCGGTTATTATTTTTTGGTTACTTAATTGGACCCAATACTACAAATAAATTAGTCACAGAAGACCTGCAAATAAATATAGGTATTATAGCGTTTTAACAGTACCTAGATTAAAATCAAAAATATTAAAGAAAATACTTTTAGAATAAATAGCGGCTTTGTAGAAACATCTTACTATTAATGTTATTTGACTTTTAGGAGGTATTTATTTTTGTTTTTTATTTTTTAATTTTTGAGGAGCTTCTAAGATGTTCTATTAATGACATTCCCCGTTATGCATTGGATCTACCAATTCCGGCAACATACATTTTAAATAAAACTTTTTTAACTTCTCCTCCATATTTTTATACCAGAAATTGTCTCTTTTTATTATATATTCCACTTTAAGTGGACAATTGGGACCTGTCCATACACCAAAAATACATCTTTTTCGTCCTGTAATATGTAATTGGCCTTGTATTTGATAATACCATTGATGGTGGATATTAATGTCAAAATTATTGGTGTCTTTATTAAAAATCCAAAAGGGTACTTTTTTCAATTTAATTGCCTCTTTTACCTGCATTTGATATACAGCGTATGGACATTTTATTTCAACCACTAATTCATCTCCTACAATGACGTCTGGAGTAGCACCTACAAATTTAAAAATTATTATTTTGATTTAAAATGAACTAATTTGCAATATGTTATAGTTGAGATGTGAGTAAAAATGTGAACTGATCGTTACGTACCTAAATATGTCAATAAAAATTCCACAATCTCTAATCACTAGATTTTCCTGCTCTTGAAGCTGCAAAAGGGCCGTTTTTTCATACCTTTTGCCATGAGAAATAGGAGCAGGATTGACTGGTAGTTGGTAAATAATCCTTTTGACTAAATGCTCACATAAAGTAGTAATTCGTCTAATACACACTGCTTTAAAGTGTGAGGCCTTAATCATTTTTCTACGAATTTCAAGCCAAACCCTGCTATCCGCCTGTGACATAGTTTGTTCCCGAATTACATTTCTCTTAACGTCAGATGAAGGAAATTCGTTTAAAAATTGAAGTTTTTTTACTTCATAAATATCTTGATCTAAATCCTTTTTGGTACAATTTTCTCCATAATCTAAATCAGTTTTATTGGTTTTTGCACAATAACTTTTTTTTAGTTTGCGATTAGATTTGGATTGTATTGCCAATTGTCGCCTTTTTTTTTCAATTCAGTTACTAACATGGATTGGTTAGTACGGTTTAAAGTTTTTTTCAATTCTGAATTCCCTGATTTCGAATTATATGATACAACTGCTGCAAAACATCTACTTTGGTAAGAGCGCTCTCTGGAATAATTGATTCTTTTGCCACCTACAAACTTAGCGAGTGTCGCATGAAATTGTTCCACAATATTACTATCAAAATCATGTAATAGACTTCTGCTGTGATCTGACAAAGCATGTATAATTTGTATAAGTCTTGTAAAAAATTCAGGTTTAGATCTGAAATTGGTTATTTCGTTTTTGGTTTCATCTTCATCTTTGTCTTTCTTTAAAAGCAAAACTTTATTAATAGTGCAAAGACTATTTTCTTTTCTATAAGAAACTGCCTTCGTAACAGATGTTCTTAAACGAAGAATGTTTTGACTAACTAATTTTCTTAGTTTTATTGGAAAATTCACAAATAACTTTCTCTTTTAGGCTCAAAATTTTACTTAATACGTTCAAATCTTCAATTCACCGGTATAACTAAATAAATCGCCGATCCATTTCCTATGATAGGGGAAATGTGGCCCGACGACCCGTTCTTGGAATTTTGAAGGTAGGGGTATAATAGGAGTAATATGCCGACAAATTAGTTCTCATGAACGGAGCAATAACTCTTAACCAGGGATAAATAGTTATCGCTGTGTTTTATCTTATACATTTTCTTTAGGGTTCTTGTGACGGGCCAATACCCTTGTGATGGACTGGTAGGCTTTTGGCGGACTAGCACTTCTTGTGACGGGCTAGCACTTCTTGTGACAGGCTAGCACTTCTTGTGACGGGCTAGCAACCTGATAGAAAATACCTTTATGACAGGCAGTTCGATTTGTATGCCGCTAATGAAGCAGAGGTAGTAGGACAATTGTCTACTAGAGTTTTCCCAGCCGGAAAGAAGTCTCGTTTTACCGCAAGTTTTTGCTCACTTATTTTTATATTACTATTTTTAATCTATTTTATTGGGGGGGTTATTAGTACATAACTTTATCTAAACCTAATGTAAACGACGTTTAGGTGTGTATAAATTACAGTAAATTTTAATAAACCCGGAAACGTCACAAGAGCTCTTCGTTGGGTATATTAATTATGGGTAAACATTAATTTTAATAAGTATCAGAGTTTTACTCGTTTTCACCCCTAGCGACCGTAAATAGATAACTATTATTTATTTATTTTGATATATACAGTACACCTCATGTGTCTCAGTTTTAAGATTACACCTAGTCCGATTTAAATATTTTTAAGTCTAATAAAGCGTTTTAGTAGTGAATAATACTCCCAGTGATGCTGTATTTATCGTTAATAGTTGAAAAATCTAATCGTTAATGTACTAAATAATTTATTTGTTAAATATGTTTTATTTCGAAGTGTGAACGAGGTTGACCCTCCATGTCAACACACAACAATTTATATTATTAAAACTTGGGTATTTATATATTGAATTTTTCTTGTTAATTAACCCCAACTTGCTAATTGTCTGTTCGATTTCATAATCAGGTTGGTCAATAAGACCTATGGTAAGGTAACGGTTTATAATAGTAGGAGCATACTCAATTTGTAGCCGCTTGGGGGCCTTTGTAGAGGAGATATATTTGGTTTGACTATTTGGAGGTTAAATCAGAAAAATATAGTCCATTAATAGCTAAAATATATCCGTCAGGAGCACATATAATTTCAGGTTTCACTAAATGTTTATTTTTGTGAAAGCAATAAGACTGTCGCAGTATCCGAAAATTGCTGCTTTTTTCTAATTCATTATAGGTGCAATCTATATATGCTATAGCTTTAGGAATATCAGGAGTAGGATTGTACAATTGATTAATGTATGGAGATACAGGGTTGTTGATATAATCCTCCCTTGTAATTGATTCGAACCCTATATGGTTTGGTACAAATCTATGTTGCAAGAAATTATTCTGCTAGTTGTTTGCCTGGAACCGTAGTTGAAAAATATTTTTAAAAAATAATCTGAAACACCATGTCTTAGTTTAATAAGGAAGGTCAATAAATCTTTTTTATTAATATTTCTCATATTTCCACCATGCTCAATCACGTCACAAAATTCATAGAATTCCAAAAAAATATTTCTGGAAAACGAGGTTAGGGATTTGAACTCCTCGTCACTAAAACTGTTTATATCATCCCAGTTTCTCACTTGGCGATTTTCATGCGCCATATCTCTTAAACCTTGAAGAAACATATTTGCCATTGTGTAAGGTTTATTTATAAAATTCAAACCTTCTTATAATTAGGGCAATAGAAAACCACGATCATCCAAATGAAGGCCACAAATTCTTAAAAAATCGGGTACATATATGTTACACGCTACAAAAATATCACTTTAAAGTTACTCGTTGAAGGTTTAATCTTGATTCACATATTATGCAGGAGCGACTTGTAGCAGGTGATAAAACATTTAACCGTAGATAATTATTATTATTTTCTATATTTCTCAGTTCATTTGCTATAGAAATATTACAATTAGTACATATCCGTGTGTTGTCAAAAATATCGACGACAAGAAATCCAGCTGCTTGCCTTCTGTTACCGTCTATTTAAAGAAAATCTATGTTATAATTGTGAATTAAACGAACAGTTTGTCTTGGAAAATAAAAGTTGTCACAAACATAACACTGCATTCGATTTGCAAAAGTCATATTATATCTTAACACAACAATTAATGTTAAATTAACAATGACAATGAGGATGACATTTCTAACGCACTTCATTTGTTTCCACAGCACACTTGTTTAGAATAGTACAAAATTGAGATATTCTGATATGGAATGAAAAATGGTCAAAAATAAAGTTACATAGTGTTTACTGTTTTGACATATAAACCCATTTTTCATTATATGTATGCTAATTCATCCACAGAAAGGCATTTCTCAAAAAAAAATTACACCCTATATATTAAGGACTTTGTTAATAATATTGATTATGGGGTAATAAATAGATACCTAGATAACAATACTTTTTATGAAATACAGGGTGATACACACGTCTAATTCGTTTTGGATGCAGCAACAATTAAAGAAATATTCATTTTTCAGAATCACCCTATATTTTTCAATTCGATCCGTCAAAATGTACTATGTACTATTTATTTTTTTAATTAGCTGTAAGCAATTAATACCTTCGTATAATTTCATAATTTTAGTATGATCCGTTTTTGAGATTCCAATATATATAGTGAACCATTAAATATCAGACAATTCAGGATATTCGCACACTGGAATTTTTAATTTGCTGAAAAATTATCGGGGTTAATACCACAAGAACTCAGATTTAGCCGGATATTTTTTTGTGGTTATTTTCGAATACTTACTTTCATTGGCAATTGCCTAATGAAAGTATGAAGAAACCACCGTAAAAAATATCCTGGACCGTCACTTGGGATTGTTGGATGTGAGTAAACTCCTGGCGCCCACTTACATACATAACTTTTGCTACGACTCACCACTTCTTCACTGTAGTTAGTCGGCATCCAACACTTGGATTAATATAAAGCCCACCTCAAGTGCTTATGCACAGAAAGTAGGTAACAGTATTTAGAGTGATAATGCAATTTAAACATATAATATATTTCGCGACTGGCTAAATAGCAAAAGCCCAAGCCATGAAAAAAATTAAAGAGTTCTCAAATATTACCTCTGAGAACTGGAGATATGCTATAAACCATGTAATAAAGGTTGAAAACGAATATATGCGACAAGTACCAGTTCTAAAGAGACTTGTAATTAATGTAAGCCACGGTTAATCTGATGAGGAAGGTGATGAGGGTGATGGTAGTGTTTTAGATTAGTTTTACAAACTTAATATTTCTATTAATTTTTAAGAATTCACAAATAAAAAATTAAATCTGTATATCCTTCTTTTGATTTTAAATTATACTTGATTGTTTAGTACAACTCTGTACAGGTATCAGTATCAGCAGGCAAAAACAAATAATGATTTTAACTGACAAAAAATTTAATATTATAGTTTGACGGATATAATACTACACTTTATGTAAGCAATAAATTAACAAAAAGTAATAAATATATTAAATATATCTGAGCTTATACAGGGTGTTGCAATTTCAATGTCGCACTATATATGTACTTAAATACATCCGCAAGATTATCTGCAAACAAAGTCGCTTCAGGCATAGCTTGTTTTACGGATTGACTTTTTATATTTTTTAACATTAGTAATCTTCAAAACAATATATTTTTAAAGGATCATGCATGTTCTTGTTAAATGAAGGGGAAGGATCCTATTTGTGCTTCTGATCTATCTTAATTAGGGCGTGCTTCAAAGCCCACTCATACTAAAGCTCTAGGCTTATTGTACACCTCTCAGTGTCTATCCCATCAGATTGATTTTCTTGATGAATTCAAGAATATGTCTGATGGACGCTTTCGCGATTTCTTCAGGTTCCGGATATTGTACCCCGAAGTACCATTCCCGTTCCCATTTAAAGTTCCGGCATAGTATGTGAATAGAAGTTTGGTCCTCCTCTTCACATATTCTACATAGGGAGTCATCAGATATTCCTAAGAGATTTAAGTGTCTTCTGAGGCCGCAGTGTCCCGTAAGAAGTTCTATTACGGCCTTGACTTTGCTTCTGCTGAGGTTTAACAGTTGATTTTGTCTGCTCGTGGATGGCCCCTCTATGAATGTTTTGGAATGTATAAGTCCAAGAAGTTCCAATCAGAGCCTATGGTGTTCTATATTTGTTTGTTCCTTTAACACTAATTTAATATGATGGTATGAGATAACAAATGTGGGTTCTGCTCCAATAAAAGTTTTTCCGCTCCCTTCCTTTGCTAGGAGGTCTGCTTTAGCGTTTCCAAACACTCCCTCATGTCCTAGCACCCATTTAAAGGTGACCTTGTTATGTTCTGACAGAGCCTGGAGGGACTGTTGGCAATCAAGTATTGATTTAGATTGTACTTCTACCCTTTTCAGTGCTTTAAGGGCTGCCTGACTGTCTGTCATGATAAAGATCCTGAGGTATGACCTGCGCAAACTCATGTAAGTTGGAATGTACACAAAAAAACCAATGTTGAGGTTCGTTTCAAATGGAAATTGTAAAGTAAGTAAAGTACAACAACACTTGCTTCAACTATTGTTATTCAATTTTAATGAATAAAGTTACAGTAGCTATTTTTTTAAGTATTGTAAATTATTTATCATTTTTCGACCGAGAAGTAAAAGTAATTGAAGTTTGACGATCGACGAGAATACATATTTTCAAGACAGGGTCTTTTCTAAGTTAAATTCTCTTTTTAAAAGCATACACAACTAGTTAAAACGAATAACTTTTTCGAATACCGTTTTTTCAGAGTTATTGACTCTAGAGAACTGTTCAGTAGCTTAGTGCAAGTCTGATACACTTTTGATTAATAATTCCATTTAATTTGTGTAATATGAGTTTTTTTATATTCTTTGTTTGTATTTAGGTGAAAATGGTATGTATATAGAGTGTTCAATTCAAAAGTTTCCACCCTTAATATTTTCCTTTCAGTAAATAATATGAAATATCGAAAAGCCAAATTGATTTTATTTTTAAGAGGGACACTTTCATGGATATGTTTAGCCCTCATGGTTTAATCTCCAAGGAGGGGTAGATGTTAATCTTAGAATCCTAATAAATTGTCATGCTTTTAAGGAAAATACCAAAGGAAAGTTAAAGGAAAATATCAAAGGAAAGTTTAAAAAAAACCATGGAAATGATTGTTCGTGTCCAAGCACTCAAGAAAAGGTTTGTGGCTCCGATGGTCAAACTTATAGAAACAATTGTTTTTTGGTATGTGAAAGAGACAGGAGGAAATCTAACTTAAGAGTTGCTTCAAATGGACCTTGTAACCCCACCATAAATGTAAGTAGAAAACCAATAAAAAAAGTGAACATATTTCCATTACAAAATGATTTCGAATGCATAATTTCGTCGTAACACAATAATTTAATTTGTTATTTTCAAGAAATTGGTTAACACAGAAAATATCAAAGGAAATTATAAAAATAGCATAGGAAATTATGAAAATGTCAAAGAAAATGATTGTATGTGTCCAATTGAAGAAGGGAAAGTATGTGGATCCGATGGCCAAACTTATTTGAACGTTTGTTTTCTAGTATGTGAAAGAAGCAAAAATCCTGTCTTAACAGTCGTTTCAAAAGGACCTTGTAACCCCACCACAAATGTAAGTAGAAAATCATTGAAACAAGTAAACATATTTTCTTTACAAAATGATTTCCAATGCATAATTTCGTCGTAACACAATAATTTAAATTGTTATATTCAAGAAATTGGCTAATACAGACATTATCAAAGGAAATTATAAAAATAGCATAGGCAATTATGAAAATGTCAAAGAAAATGATTGTATGTGTCCAACTGAAGAAGGGAAGGTATGTGGATCCGATGGTCAAACTTATTTGAACGTTTGTTTTCTAGTATGTGAAAGAAGCAAAAATCCTGTCTTAACAGTCGTTTCAAAAGGACCTTGTAAACCCTATGTGAATGTAAGTAAAAATTCATTGATAAGTGTGAACATATTTCCATTTCGTAACAATAAATGATAAGCGGAAAATATTTCTAATTAATAATATCGTTAATTTCGTCATAGTACAATATTGTAAATTGTTATTTTCAAGGATTGGCCAAATAAAGAAAACAACAAAGGAAGTAAAAAAAAGAAGAAAGGAAATTACGAAACGATTGTTAATAATGTAAGTAGAAAATAATTGACAAAAGGTGACGCATCGCGTAGAGATAACTCGATGCTTTGACAAAATGTCGATGGCTAAGAAAGCAAACGCCGTTTAGAGTAAAATCGATTTGAAAGTTGGAGGTGACTAGGACGAGTTGTGAAATTTTTAATCCCATTACTTTACTACATGGTAAACCTATTTATGTGGACCAAAATAAACATACAATATTTATCTCCTAAACCATAGATGTGTTTATTGGCCCAAACCAATTCTATGACTAGTTTTCAAGGTACGAGCATATTTCTCATAACACACCTGTTCTATTCGCGTTTGTTGTAGAAAATATGAATTATTGATTATTTGACAATAAAATTTTATATTTATACAGGATGATGCATAAATGTGGTTACCGAAGGCATGCATTGTTTTTCGGCATTAACGAGTCATTCCGTATCAGTAGCGGCGGATTAAGGGAGGAGGCGCGGGGGCACGGCCCCCTAAGACCCCCCAATGCCTTTCTAAATAAAGAAAAGTAACATTATCTCTAAATGGATTTAGTCGTTGTCTTTAAATCTGCGATTCCGATTATTTCCCAAATATTTACAATTTTTTTAAAATTGTTTGTGCATTTACAATTTCTGTAAGAGGCCTCTATTCTTGAGCTTTTAAAAAGATGGTCACATTTAAAACTTACCTAAAATCTACCATGCTAAAAGATCGACTTAACGTTTTAGCTTTATTATGTGTGTCTATCAAAATATGGAATTATATATAGACGAAATCATAAATCGATTTTCAAATAAAAAGACAAGTTTAAGAAAGATGACACAAAATCCATGCCACACAATAATATTTTATTGAAAAAATGTAGGCAACCGGTTGGGGGCATAAGGCCTGAAATATAAACGCACGCACCACTTATGAGAAAATTAATTGTGTAAACGCCCACATCATATAGGTACTTCCAGTCCGTCGGTGGAAGCGCCTCTTGAAAAAGCCGGCTCATCTTCCAATTGTTTTCGCTTCATGTTATTGACCCTGCTTTGCCGCGACACAGTAGTTAATCTGTTTGGACACGTGAAATACGGTTGAGAGGCAGCGATTTTTACGTCCCCTTACGCATATTGTAATTCGCACCGCGAATCGACGTGTGAGGAAAATCATAGACTTCAGATAGATTTCGGTTTGTTTTTCGTAGTTGTTTTTCTTTTTGTAAAATGAAGAAACTATGCACTGTGCCTGTGAACAATAATAATGTGGTAAATTGCGTCTGTATTGTACGCTCTTTATTGAAAAAAGGATTTTCAAGTAGAAATTTCAAAGAGAAAACGGACATTATTAATTCCAGTAGACTGAAGGATCCTATCAATTTAGAGACGAAAGTAGAAAAGTCAGCAAAGAAATTAACCAGGCATTTTCACGTAGGGTTCTATGAAAAGTATGAATGGTTAACCGGCTGCAAAACTTTGAAGAAATTGTTTTGCTGGCCTTGCCTACTTTTTAATATAGCTGAAAAAATACATTGGGTATTACACAAAAGTGTAAAACGACATGTAATAGCAAATCTCATATAAGTGCAGCAATTAAAGAAAAAACATTCAGGACCTATCGCATTAAACATAGTTTGGACAATCATTTAAAAATATGCAACAAAATTCACAATGAAGGGTAAAAGAATGGGGACGTCTTACAACGATTATTAGATGTAACTTGTTTCCTGGGAGAGCATGAACTAAGTTTTAGGGGTCACAATGAAGCAAGTAGATCCGCCAATCGAGGAGATTACATGGACCTTCTAAGTGTTAGCAAAATACGATGGTACCCTAAAAAATCATTTTATTAATTCGACGGTACCTCAAACAGAATCCAAAATGATTTAATTAAATTCACTGCCGACGTTGGTAGTGACACCTTTCGTATCAATTGCGCTTGATGAAACCACAGATGTAGCAAACTTAAGTCAATTATCCATTGTTGTGCGATATGTATTCCTGCATTCCTCAAGAGCGATTCTTAGGATTTTTGGACGTCACTAGCGAACTAACTGCCGATGCATTGTTTAAAATTGTTTATGACATTATTTTAAGTTTAGAATGTGGTTCTAAGTGGCCATTTAGGAGGCCTTCAAGCTAAAGTGAAAGAGAATTTTAAACATGCAATTTTCGTTCACTCTATAGCACTTAGACTTAATTTGGTTTTATCGCGAAGCATAGATAATATTAAAGATTGCAAAGTTTTCTTTTCGACGCTTAGTGGTTTGGCTTCGTTCTTTTCAAAGTCATCGAAAAGAACTCGCGCTTTGGACATTCACGTTCAAAACAGGTTTCCAAAAGTTGCTCCGATGCGATGGAACTACAATGGACGTTTAGTGCAAACAGTGTTTCAATACCGTGATTCTTTGATACACTTTTTTCAAGACGTTTGGGATAATAAAAAAACATGAGATGCTGAAACTGTTACTGCTGCTAAAGGGTATTGGCTCAAACAAAACTTTGATTTAAATTTTTTGCTCAATATTTTTGCAGAGATTTTCCCTTTTACTGACATTTTATTCGACATTTTACAGACAAAGTCAAATGACATTGGCTTGTGCATTAAACAAATTGATGATTTTAAAAATAAAATGAATAAAAAACGAGATTAGTTTGAACACTTTTGGAATAAGACTCAAAACATTGACTTAGAACCTGAAAGAAAGAGAATTAGAGAGAGAGAGAGATATGCTTTATTGTCGTAAAAAAATTTACAAAAATTTTATAGACAAAGCGTGTAACTTAAATACTAAACATATTATAAAAATAACTAAACAGCAGAAAAAACAAACAGAAACAAACAGACAAAATAGGAATAACAATTGCAATGGATATGCAATATCCGTCATTATAATTATTCTAATTTAATTTTTAAATTTAAATTTAAATTTAAATTTAAACTTTAATATTTAATTATTTAATTAATGCCATTAATATCTAAGGTACGTCATAAAATTCTGCTACTGTGTAATATGGTCTTTCTAGAAGAAAAGCTTTAGCCAGTCTTCGGAACTTATCGTATGTATTTATAGATTTTAATTGCATCGGAAGGTTATTATACAATTTTTTGGCATTGTAGGTAATGGAATGTTTTAATAGGTCAGAAGTGGGCATTGTTAAATAAACATCAGTCTCTAAATTTCTTGTAGGATATCTACGAGTCGGTCTTTCGGATAAATTTTGAATGTACTTGCGAACTAAGCAGACGGATTCGAAAATAAATAGAGCAGGAAGGGTTAGAATTTTTAAATTTTTGAAGTAATTTTCGCAATGTGTCCTACTACTTAAACCAAATACATAGCGGATTGCTCTTTTTTGCAGTTTAAAAATAGATTCGAAAAGGTATAAGCTACAAGAACCCCAGAAGGGTAAACCATAGCGAAGGTGAGATTCGAATAAGGAAAAGTAGGTTATTAATGCAGTAGAAGGAGTCAGCTCTTTAGAAACCGATTTAATGGCAAAGCATGCGGAGGATAATTTTTTTGCTAAGGTATCTATATGAGCAGACCATTTTAGAGAATCGTCTATATAAAGACCTAAAAACTTGATTGAAGTCACCGTTTGGATCAGATTATTGTTTAAAGTTATAGGTTGTAAAGTACCTCTGTAAGACAATGCTACAGTTTTACTGGTGTTGAAACAAAGTCCATTCGAATCAGACCAGGACTTAATAGTCACTAGATCTTCACTTATGATAGATTGTAATGTCTGCATGTTAGAATTATTCCAGGTTACACTGGTGTCATCAGCAAATAAAGTAATTCTACCACTTATTCTTAAGTCTGTGATGTCGTTGATGAATAATAAAAACAAAATTGGACCTAATACTGATCCTTGAGGTACTCCACTGCTTATTGCTAGATTTGTAGAATCCTCACCATTCGCCCGCACCTGTTGATTTCTATTTTCTAGGTAAGTTTTAAACCATTGTAAAGGAGAACCCCGTATGCCATAAATTTGTAACTTATTAATTAAAATATCATGATTTACACAATCGAAGGCCTTTGCGAAGTCACAAAATACTGAAGCGGTGAAAAGTTTATCATTAAGTGATGTGTATATTTCATTAAGAACGGAAAACATTGCGTCGCTAGTGCATTTTTTAGGTAGAAAGCCATACTGATGAGCTGTGAGGATGTTATGCTTGAAAAGAAAGGGCAAAAGACGGTTTTTCATTAGCCGTTCTACTATCTTCGATAAGGTAGGCAATAACGCGATAGGTCTATAGTTACAGGTTTTGGTTTTGTCGCCACCTTTATGAAGTGGGATTATTATAGCTGTTTTTAGACAGTTAGGAAAGAGACCAATTTCAAAGGATTCATTAATCAGTGAAGTTAAAATGTTGATTACTACATCCGGTATATTTAGAAATATTTTGGTGGACAGGCCATCAATTCCACAGGAAAATTTATTTTGGATGTTGTTTATGGTTTGCTCTAGTTCATGCTTGTCTACTGGTCTTAGGAAGAAACTTTCAGTGATCCTTTTAGTAGGTAGGAGGAAGGAGAGAGCATCCTGACTCGGAGCTATGTTAGATTTGATATTTTTACTTACATTTACGAAATAATTGTTTAGTTCATCTGAGCTAGGATTTACAGTGTTTGAAGAACGGGTTTTATTCCTTAAGTCATTTATTATAGACCAGGTTTCTTTGGAGGAGTTTTTAGCTCTTGCGATGCGATTTTTGTAATAGTTTTTCTTAGCAGATTTGGTGATTTTCCGATACAATATTCTGTAGTTGTTGATATAGTTTAATATTAGGGGATTATCTGTGTACTTTTTAATATACATTAGTGACCTCATATTTTTAGATGATGTTCTTATTCCTTTAGTTGTCCAAGATTTATGACATTTAGTTTTAATGGGGCGAAGGGGGAAAGCTGTATTGAAACACATAATTATTTTATTTAAGAAGTCTAAAAATTTAGAGTCAATATCTTCAGAAAGACCATTCCAATCAGTAGTTAGACATAAATTATAGAAATTTTTGAAATTATGCTTAGAGAAAATTCTACCTAGCTGACGGACTTTTTTTGGAGCTGTACGGGGTATCAAAAATTTGGCAAATACTGCTTCGTGGTCTGAGAGACCTGAGCTAATTACTTGGTGCTCTACATCAACGGGTTTAAAATCAGAGACTACGTAATCTGTAATTGTAGATGTTGTTTCTGTGATTATAGTTGGAGAATTTACGTAGAATTGATAATGTTGGCGTCGTCGATTATACGCCTCAATTTTTGATAATATTTTACAACAAATGAACTCTCGATTTCAAAACTTTAACGAATTAAAATTTGATGAATTGTGCATTTTTTATATTAGTAACTACGCTTCGTCAAAATTTCCATCGGAAGCTTTTAATCCACTAAAATTAAATTATGGAATTTTTTTCGATATTCCAGCATTAAAGTCCCAATTAAGTGTTGTTTACGAAACAACTGAAATTAGTAATAAAGAGACGCCCATCAATGTGATAATTTTTCTTATAACAACTGGTTTAAATAAGTCCCTTTGTGAAGTCGTCAAGTTGTGTGAATTAGTACTAACCATCCCAACTACAAAAGCGTCAGTTGAGCGAAGTTTTTCAGCTTTAAAGCGCATTAACAGTTTTACACAAAATTCATTAAGTGAAAACAGACTCTCTAATTTAGCCCTAATATCCATTAAAAAACATCTTGTTAAACAGTTATCAGAAAATTCAAAATTTTACGACGATGTTATAGACAAAGTATAAATAAATGTCAACTGTGCGAAAAATGCTGGAAAAAATAAAAAAAAAAAAAACATCAGTTAAATTTTGTTTTACGTTTAAATAAACCAAGGAAGCTTTTCAATGGTAAGTTTTTTTTATAGCTTCTAGTACTAAACTAGGTAATAAAGTAATAGTAACACAGAATTTGACAAAATGGTGAATGCGCCGCGAAAAATGTTCGTCTGCGGCGCTGTGTTTTTATATAATCGCTTCCCCTTCCAAAAATGCCACCGCACGCCACTGATTAAAGTGGAATGATTCTTAAAATTATTAGATATACAGATTAACACATATTTTAAGTTCTTTAAAATCCTTACATATTAACAATGGTACAGGTATTAGACCTATTCGTATGTGTAGACCTTACATAAAACCGTACTATGTATTAATTCTTATAGGTTTGTTCTGGTTCTCAAAATGAAAACGGTTTTGAAACTGCGCCGGACCGTGTGCGTAAAGGCAAAAAATCCCCGACTCTTTGAAATTGTTGGAAAACCAGAACACATAAAGGTGTTTCTTTTTTTTATTATAATAATAATGCAGTTAGTTTTTAAAACTCAGCTTCAAATAACATTTACAGGTATATGTTCATCATTATCACCCTCATCACATAATATCAATGAATACAAAAAAGGGAGAAAAAAATAATAATTTTAATTGCCTCAGTTTACAAAAACAAAAACAAGAGACATTCGTCCACACATAAATCAACAATTTGTATACGTTCTAAATGGTCTTAAATGCTAATACAATATTCATAACTTTATATAAATAAAAATTTCCTTGGTGTATTCGGTCTTTAATTTTATTTTATATTGTTATCACAGCACTACATATGTTTCGGAAACATTTCTTTCCATCTTCAGGTGCAGTCAAAATTTTAAAAACATTAAAAAATACATGGGGACGATTACAAACAGTTTAAAATTTTTAAAATACCAGAAACACCATCTTTTTGTTTTAGCGGTAAAACCACATTTATGAGTTAACCCGTATATAATATGATGTATCATTAAGAAGCAATTACTTAAACTATATTTTGATGGTACAATGATAATTGTTCATATTTTTAACGCTATTCCATATCCTCAAACCATCCTGTAATTAACTGCTAAACGGGTAGTCACAACAAAGAAAGTAACATGGGCAACACGCACCTTCAATCCATACAAATCACCGGGACCAGATGGGGTACTGACTGTGCTTTTGCAACAGGCTATAGAAACGCTGGCCTTGCATATTTTTAGGCTCTACAGAGCAAGTTTGGTGCATAAACATGTACCAAATACCTGGAAACAAAGCAGAGTTGACTTTATACCTAAACCGGGGCGTCCAACGTATGCCGTGGCAAAGGACTATATAGACAAATAACGCTAACGTCATTTCTATTAGAAAGATTGGAAAAACTATTTGATTAGCATGTCCGACAAACCACTATGATAAAGAGGCCATTTCACACAAACCAACATGCCTATCAATCAGGAAAATCTTGTGTCTACTCTGCATCATTTCGTCACTAAGAGGGGGGGATTCAGTAGCCAAGAAATAGTCCTAGGAGCATTTCTTGACATAGAAGGAGCTTTTGATAATACCTTCTTTAAATCAAGGTATCAAGGTAGCTGCCGCTCGCAAACATGGAATAGAAGACACCATCTGCTAAGTACAGGCACAAATGTTCAGTGAAACCATGCAAGTGAATATCCACAGGGGATGCCCACAGAGTGGAGTCCTTTCTACTCTACTGTGGAACCTAGTGGCAGATGAACTGCTGAAAGCACTAAACAATCAAGGGCTGTACGCCCAAGGATATGCCGATGACTTATTCATCCTTATCAGTGGGAAACACCAAACCACAGTCTTCGAACTCCTGCAAAGGCTGACAGAAATGTGATGCGTTAGGGAAAACCTCCTGATAAACCCTGACAAAGCACAACTCATAACCTTTACTCAGAAAACAAGGTTGAAGGTCTTAGAACCTCCTACTCTGTTTGGAGGAAGGCTAAACAGAACGAACCAAGTGGTCTAATCCTAGATAGCAAACTTAATTGGAACCAACACTTAGAAAAAGTAACCAACAAATGTAGGGAGAGGGGCATTTGGAAAAACATGGGGATTAAAACCAAAAATGGTCCACTGGCTATATTTGGCAATAAGAAGACCCATGATAACTTATGGAGCGGTTGTTTGGTGGCCAAAAGTAAACCAGAAAACAGCCCTCAATACTATCTCAGGAGTTGAGGCTGGCATGCCTTTGATTTACAGAAGCATTGAGAAGTACACCGACAGCCTATATGGAAATTATTCTAAACCTTCCACCCCTTGACCTATTCATAAAGGGGGAGGCCAGAATGAGTGCATACAGACTGAAAATCTCCAACAATTGGAACCCACTGGGACATATAAAACATACCAGAATAACACATTAAGTGAATAATTCTATATTAAACATAGAATCAGATCACATGATACCCCTCCTAACCTTCAACATATTCTTCCAGGTCAACTGTAACTGGAACGAGGTAAATAAGGAAATAGATAAATACTTACTTAGCGGTCTCGTATGGTATACGGATGGATCTAAAACTAACAAGGGAACAGGCTCTGGCGTACATAGAGTTAAACCCAAATGCGACATCATCGTCACATTGGGAAAACATTCCACTATATTTCAGGCTGAAATACATGCAATCGAATTCTGTACGAGAAAATTTAAAAAGAAAGTACAAAAAACAAACCATCCTTATTGTCTCAGATATACAAGCAGCCTTAAAGGCTCTTGATTCAAACATAATCAAGTCCAAGCTTGTCTGGAATTGCCTTGGAATACTAAATGATCTGGCAACCCACAATAAGGTAAAACTAGCGTGGGTACCAGGGCACAAAGGTATCCAAGGAAATGAAAAGGCTGATGAACTCGCCAAAGAGGGATCAGGTCTACCATTCACAGGACCCGAACCTGTATTTGGGACAAGCAAAACCTCTGCTCGACAGGCTGTGAACAGGTGAATAACCACAAAAACACCAAATTCACTGGCAACAGATAAGAGGGCACAGAATCAGAAAGCTCATGCCAAGGGGATCAAACCCACGCATGGCTACTGAGGCACTACAGCTTGCAAGGCCTTAGATATACACCATTGTGGGATTACTAACGGGGCACTGCTTGCTGAATCACCTTCATGTGATGGGATTACACAATGATCCCACTACGTGTAGACTCTGCTGCATGGAAGAGGAAGAAACCTCATACATGTTTTTTACAACAAACGCGAATAAAACAGGTGTGTTATCAGAAATATGCATACAAAAAAGAGAAATTTTCGATGTTTAACACCCTGTACCTTGAAAACTAGTTATAAAAATGGTTGAGGCCAATGGACATTTCATAAAAGTTGACGAAAATCAATTTTGCCATAAGAAAAGTACCTGGTCCTTTCAAAAATCAATTAATTTCTTGAGCAGAATTTTTTCTAATAAATAATATAGTTAGTTTCGACGTAGCTTAATATTGCAAATAATTATTTTTAAGGAATGGGTAAATTTCGAAAAGGTCGAAGGAAGTGATGAAAATATCAATGGAAATGACGGAACGATTAATATGATTGTAAGTAAAAAGTTATTGTAAAGTGTAAAAACATTTCCATTTCGTAACAATAATTATTGTAATATTTCAGCAACCGAATGTATATCTTGACCAATTATTTAATCAACTGTATAATAGGACTAATTACATGGCGGCACAATATTTTCTCTCGTTAATGAAGGATTTGATTCATAAAGAAGAAATAGAATTTTTTAATGATAATTGTAATTGTCTAAATACTGTAAAAGAGGTTTGTGGATCTGACGGTAAAACCTATACCAACCGATGCAAACTAGAATGTACAAGACGATTACAAACTGATTTGAAATACGTTTCAGAGGGATCATGTAATGTAAATGTAAGTAAAATTATCTGTATTTGACCAAAACATGTATCGAATTAATAATATCGTTAATTTATAGCACAATATTTCAAATTGTTAATTTCAAGGATTTGTTAACCGACTTCATAAAAGAAGGAGGTTCTCGATTCGTCGGTATTTATTTTTTTTGTTGTTTTTTTTATGTATGTTCAGCGATAATTATTTAACACGATGTCCGATTTCAATGATTCTTTTTTTGTTAGAAAGAGGGTACTTCAGGAGTGGTCCCATATTACTTTGGTAAAAATATAATAATTGGATCCATGAAAAAATCCTCAAACTCTTCATTTTTTATGTATATTTAGCGATAATTCTTTACCATCTTGTCCGATTTCTAGGATTTTTTTTTTGTTGGTAAGGGGGTACCTCAGGGGTGGTCCCTTATAAATTTGGTCAAGATATGGTAATGGCATATGCATGATTTTGAAGTCGGTTTTTTAAAATTACTTTTAATACTTGTTTCACAATAAAAACACCAAAGTAATTGTCTAAAAACGGTTAAAGAAGTTTGTCGATTTGACGGTAAAACCTACACCAACCGATGCATACTAGATTGTACAAGACTACCACAAACTGATTTGAAATACTTTTAGAGGGAGCATGCAATGCATAAATAGGGGATGTAGGTAGAATTTGCTGTATTTGACCAAAAAATGTATCGTTAGTTTTGTCATTGCACAATATTTTAAATTATTTTCAAGGCATTGGTTTACGGTGAAAAAACCAAAGTAATTGATAATATCTGTAATTGTCCAAATACTGTAAATAACGTTTGTGGATCTGACGGTAGAACCTACACAAACCGATGCACACTAGAATGTAGAAGACTATCACAAACTGATTTAAAAGAGGGAAGATGCAAGGCAGAAATAGGGCATGTAAGTAAAATTATCTGTATTTGACCAAAAAATTTATCGAATGCATAATATCTTAAATTTAGTCATAGCACAATATTTTAAATTGTTATTTTCAAGGAATTGGTTCACGATGAAAAAATTAAAGTAATTAATAATATCTGTAATTGTCCAAAAATTGTAAATGAAGTTTGTGGCTCTGATGGCAAAATTTACACCAACCGATGCATACTGGAATGTAGAAAAATGTCACAAATTGATTTGAAAGAGCAAGCATGTAATGCACAAGCAATGAATGTAAGTAGAATTATCTGTATCTGAAAAGGTGAAAACGTAGGACTTAACTCCACAGTACTAATTGAACTAGAACCAAATACGTATATTTGTGGAAATACCCCTAGTCACTCAACAAAATAATATAAAAATGATGTAGATTGTTTTAGTTACTAACCACAAGTGTATTCTTAGTTTCTATAATTTACAGAATCTAACTAAAAATATTCTTTTTTTTATTCAAATATGTGTATAAAAATATTCTTCTTTATTATTCAAAAGCCTGTATCAAGACCAGCTTCTAGTGAATGCCGCATTGAAGGTGTTCTATGTAATACTCTTTTAACCAGTACCTAATAATTTAGAGCATTAACACAAAATAAATTTAATCGGTACAATTTAGGGAAAAGGAAAGTATTTTTAAATAAAATTAAGCCACAAAAATTATTTTATAAAAATACGCGAATAAAAATAAATTAAATGAAAATAGAGGAGGGGGATGAATTCTTGTGTCACATTATTTACGATTTCCTTTTTAAACGAAATCGTTTAAAATAAACTCCGCACAAAAATTAACGCACCATTTCAATTTTCTTACAGAACGTAAATTTTGTTGTCTTATAAATTAGAAACTATTTGTATGCAATAATGGCAAAAAAATAAAACTTAAGAAGGTACCAAATAAATTTATTCGATTTTTTACAATTTAAAAAAAAGTAATTTGGGTGCAATCGATAAATAAAACAAAACTAATACCTTGTATTACCACCTTGTGCTCTAAATACTGCCCGACATCGACGTGGCATACTTAAAATAGGGCTTTGCATCAATTGTTCCGGCAAATTGTCCCATTCCTTGGTTAGAGCATTTTGAAGTTGATTTAAGGTGTCAAAAACCGTTGGTCGATTTCGTATCTGTCGTGATAAATTGTCCCCGACATGCTCTATTGGATTTAAATCAGGACTTCGAGCTGGCCAATCCAATGTGGGAATACCAACTTTGTTAAGGTACTGACGAACAATTAAAGCTGTGTGCGGGCGAGCGTTGTCTTGCATAAAAACAAAATTGTCACCAATGAATGGACCGTAAGGTACAACATAGGGTTTAAGAATGTCCGTTACATATCTTGCAGCTGTTAAATTTCCTACCACAACTGGTACTAACTCTGTACGAGCCGCAAAAGAAATTCCTCCCCACATCATAACAGAGCCACCACCAAAAGATTCCATTTCTCTGATGTTACACTGAAAGTATCGTTCGCCATCACGCCTGTAAACTAGTGATGCCGCGAGACGAGAGATTCTCGTCTCTCGTCTCGTCTCGTCTTGTCTCGTCTCGAACAAGACGAGAGAGACATTTTCTCTCGAAAACAGATTCGAGACGAGACGAGAGAGTGTCATCTCTCGACGAGAATTTCTTGTTTCTCTCGAGCTCTCTCGGGCTCTCTCGAACAATTTTCTCTTTGCTTATTTGAAATTTTCAATTGCTTATCGTAACTTAAAATTTTAACTTATTAGATTTCGAGACAGTCAAAAAGTTAACTATAATACACCTATTCTATATACACTCACCGGCAGAATTAACCGCCCACCCAATTATTTTTATTTATTTCTGAAATTTTCGGAGATTTTCGTCACTTTTTGACAATTGATATGACATGACATTTTGACAGTAAATAAATGTTTAATTGTCAGTGCTGTTATTCTTTCGCTTAGACATTAAAAAGTAAAAAAAATCAAAATTACAAATATCTCCAACTAAATAACAAAACATTGGGTGGGTGGTTAATTCTGCCGGTGAGTGTATATTAAATGGTAACAAATGATACTTGTATTATTAGGATTTTATAAATTTAACTCTCCTCTATTTTAACTTCTAAATGAAAAAAGGTAATGACAGAACAAAAACGATGTAAAACTTAAGATATATTATATTTTTATTATAAGAGATGCACTTTACTTGAGACACGTAAGATAGAGGGATAGGGTCATGTGATATCTCATTTGAAAGATATTTTCTATATTTTTACGTTCATGTAAACAGATTTAGGTTTTTGTTTTCACAGAAATTATATGAAATAAATTCATAAAGTAGGTTAAATCCTTTTTTTTATTTACCGCTTCTACCTCAAAGGTTCATTAACGGAGGTATAATGCCTTATAAATGCTATTTTTTACAATAGCATACAATGGACAATTAACATTTTGGCTAGTACAGAGTAAATGTTAGTTTCTTTTATAAATTTAAGTCATTTTTACTTTCCTATCTGTATACAGATATAAGGAAAGTATAGGAATCATGATTTTTTTCGACCTCAAGTTTTCGACGGATTTTTACGTTTTGAGGTCCCCTGAATCCGTTTTGACTATTTTCGCGATGATGTCTGTCTGTCTGTGTGTGTGTGTGTGTGTGTGTGTGTGTGTGTGTGTGTGTGTGTGTGTGTGTGTGTGTGTGTGTGTGTGTGTGTGTGTGTGTGTGTGTGTGTGTGTGTGTGTGTGTGTGTGTGTGTGTGTGTGTGTGTGTGTGTGTGTGTGTGTGTGTGTGTGTGTGTGTGTGTGTGTGTGTGTGTGTGTGTGTGTGTGTGTGTGTGTGTGTGTGTGTGTGTGTGTGTGTGTGTGTGTGTGTGTGTGTGTGTGTGTGTGTGTGTGTGTGTGTGTGTGTGTGTGTGTCTGTGTGTGTGTGTGTGTGTGTGTGTGTGTGTGTGTGTGTGTGTGTCTGTATAACGCATAACTCATGAACCGATACACAGAAAAACACCAAATTTTAAACTTAAGCTTTGCTTCAGCGTCCAATGAGCTGATTAGATTTTGGGCAGAGTCGGAACATCTGGGGGGGTACTTTATAGGTGGTCATTTTTATATTTTATGGAATATATCTGTTATTTACGTTTGAAAAAGAAAATTCTTCAAATAAAAGTTACTTCTACAATAATTATCTATAATTTTTGTTTTATGCAAAATTTTCCTAAAATGGTCCGTATTCGAGAAATTTGACAAAATGTAAAAAAAATAATTTTTTAAAAAAATTGTTCAAATAAAAGTTGTTTGCAATATAGTTCTCTTTAATTTTTATTTTATACATAATTTCTCTAAAATGGACCGTATTCGAGATATTTGAGAAAATGTGTAAATTTCGAATTTTGAAGAAAACTCAAAAATGGATAAAGAAAAAAACATTAAATTTTAAACTTAAGGTTTATTTCGGCCTGACGTGAAATGATTAGATTTTGGACACAGTCGGAACATCTGGGGGGGTACTTTATGGGAGGCCACTTTTATATTTTATGGAATATATCTGTTACTAATGTTTGGAGAAAAAAATTGTTTAAATAAAAGTTACTTCTAATAATATTATCTATAATTTTTGTTTTATGTAAAAATTTCCTGAAATGATCCGTATTCGAGAAATTTGACAAAATGTGCAAAATTCTGATTTTTATGAAAGTTTTTGAAATAAAAGTTGTTTGCGATATCGATCTCTATAAGTTTTGTTTATACATGATTTTTATAAAATGGACCGTAATGAAAAAATTGTAGGAAATTTAAATTTTTCAGTATTTTCGTTTTCCATGAATATCTATAGAAAAATGTTTCGAGGTAGATGTATGTGGACAATGTATATATTTAGTTTATCCTCTAAACATTTATAGAGATGCTACAATAGGTTGTACAAAATAACCGGAAAAAGCCTATAATAACTAGATAGGAAAGTCATGTGTTGGACACATCAGATTTTTTACTGTTGGAGGGATTTAACACTGCACAAATGGCAATTTTTTGTAGCTGGTACTTTGTTCTTATACAGACATAATCTGGGCCTTTATTAATAAGTTACATTCTTGATAACTCTCGTATTAACAATTATTGTTTATTACTAAGGAAACGCTTCTTGTATTTACTAAAATAAATAAAAAATATCAAAGGTGATTTAAAAACCACTTGACGTATTAAAGTTTTCTTGGCAAAAAAAAGCCTATTTAAAATTATCCTTCTAACATTATCTAACATTTCTAGGATTATTGCGGCACACGAGGATTATCAAGAATGTAATTTTTGTAAAAACAAAAAAAAAATTAAAACTGTTTGCTTGGACGTAAATATAATTAAAACATCTTTTAAATGAGGTATTACATGACTTTACTGTACATTAGAAAATAGTAATGCCCTCTATTTGATGTCTCAACTAAAATGCATCTTATTATAACAAAAATATTATAACAAAAATATTATAATGTTTCTCTAATTTCACATCGTTTTTGTTTTATGTCCCTATCTTCTTGCATTTTGAAAACATACTACAAAATGCTTTCACTTGACATCGCAGGATCTCATTAAAAAAATTCGTACTTCCAATTTAACCTCTTCCCCCTCTCCCCAACTGACTTACAAGTATTTTCGTTTTTAGTTAACGCCTAATCTAGGCCACTTATTACTTTAAATTTCAATTGTAAAACGACTGTGGCAGACGGACAGACAGAGAGACATAAGTATTTCTAATTCCCAAATTTGGGTTCTAAAGCTCAAATTACTTGAAAAATTCTTTGTTTTTGTCTTACAAATTTTACCGTTTATCATGTTTCGTATTTATCAAATTTAAATTTGATATTGTTTTATCACGAGAGAAACGAGACGAGACAAGACGAGAGTAAAGGCTCTCTCGACCGTGAGAAGCGCCTTCTCGTCGAGACGAGAGAACAGTTTTCTCTCGCCCTACGAGACGAGACGAGAGAGGCACTTTCTCGTCTTGTCTCGCGGCATCACTACTGTAAACTGGAAATCGTCGATCAGATGAAAACAGGCTGAATCTAAATTCATCAGAAAACAGAACATTGGACCAATCGTCTGTATCCCAATTCACATGATTTCTGTTGTTACATCTTTACTGGACAGTACGATATTATTCTAAATATTCTTGATACGGTACTGGGTAACAGTATCGCTAATACTCGAAACTAAACCACAACGATAGCCAGTTAAGACAAAATACGAACGCCACTCTTGTTTTTGTAGGAGAGCAACTGGGGG